TGACTGGATTAAGGAATATCTAGAAACCTAAAGGCACTTATTTTGAGTGAGGGTACTTCCAGAGGAGATTAGCATATGACTCATACTGCCCAAGATAAAGGAGGCCGGCCCTCAATGTGGGAGTACATCAGCCAATTGGATGGGGGCCTGGAGAATATAAATGCAAAAGGTGAGCAGATCTTTTCGTCCAGAGAGCTGAGATGTGCCTCAGACGTGAGGACTTGTGGGTTGCTCATCAGGTCCTCAGGTTTCCAGCCTTGAACTGAGCTATGTCAGTTCTTATGCCTTCAGACTTGGACTGAGCTAAACACTATAGATAACCCTGTAGTAAGTCCCCTTTAATATATCTACATTCACATGCCCTGTTGATTCTCTCCAGAGAACCCTGACCTATTCAAACAACAAATACCAAGTTTGCAAGTTTATGCCTATTAATGGAAATGACTGATGTAAAACAAACATCTTTTATGTAAAAACCTGCTCTGAAGGCTAAGAACTCATTTTATATATATGTCATGACCGTCCTTTTTAGCTTTCGTATTCCTTAGTCCTCCCAGCATTTCTTATCCCTTTATGGTTATAAAACTTAATGTTACAGTTTGATAAAGATGTTTTCTCTTCATACAAGACAAGCCTACCTTAAATTTTAACTTTCAGTTTCAGTTGTTTTCAGTTCTTAAGATGGTACAACAATGTCCGCAGTAAAATGACAAACCAGAATCAACAAACTCAGGGTGAGCCAGATCTTTCTAGGATCCTTGATTTGGTGACTCAAAAGCAAGTAAAGGGATTATTAATTCATTGAACATCTGTCACCAATCTGGGAAACAAAGTTCAAAAACACAATAACAGCTATCTTTCTGCTTTTTCTTTAGAGCACCAAGGCCTTTATCAAAAGAGAGATACATGTTATAAGGTACAAACAATGGGAAAAAATTCTTAGACAATTAAAAAGAACGTGTAAGTAAAAAAAGTTAAGATACTGCTACAGTGCTTTGTCAAGAAATACTGATATAATTAGCCGGATGAAGGATAAAGTTAGCAACTGCCTCAAATCCCATTTCTTCTGAGGAGCCTATGTCTTAGGTTAAAATCCTATGAAGCATCCATTTCCACACTGGTCTTCTCCTTAGCCAAGGGAGTATCTCACAATTATCTGAACCACAGTTTTAGGTGGCCTATAAGATGAAATAGATATTATAGGAGAAGCACCTAAATCAAGCACTTAAGAGATCTGCTGATGTTCTAAATCACACACATATAAAGCTGGTAGGAAGCTAGTATACGGGCCGGCGCCGCAGCTCACTAGGCTAATCCTCCGTCTGTGGCGCCGGCACACCGGGTTCTAGTCCCGGTCGGGGCGCCAGATTCTGTCCCGGTTGCCCCTCTTCCAGGCCAGCTCTCTGCTGTGGCCAGGGAGTGCAGTGGAGGATGGCCCAAGTGCTTGGGCCTTGCAACCCATGGGAGACCAGGAGAAGTACCTGGCTCCTGCCATCAGATCAGCGTAGTGCGCCAGGCGCAGCGGCCATTGGAGGGTGAACCAACGGCAAAGGAAGACCTTTCTCTCTGTCTCTCTCTCTCACTGTCCACTCTGCCTGTCAAAAAAAAAAAATATATATATATCTAAAGGCACAGAATTCACTGTGAGTAACAAGTAAAATACTTATTTTAGGGAGTGTGTTTCTGTGTAAAACAGAAATTACAACATAATCAAGGCTGTTAAAAAAACTCCTAGCAGAAATGACAAATGCTCCAATCATCTCTTTCAGTTTCGTAGCTAAATTAATACAACACACATAGATAAAAATAAACTGTAGACCCAAAGGTCAAATAAAGTATTTTCACTTGGAAAACTATTGTAGCTATCAATGAATTTGAATGTATCACTGCAATTTTTAGATCATAACCTCTAAAAAGCAATTATATGAAACACCAAGTTGGACAGAGCAAAAGCAGTCACTAAAACAGAGGGGCAGCTATAATATGTGACACAGCAACAATTAAAGAGAATCCATGAAATCATATAAAAACTTGAAGATTAATAGTCTAATACAGGAGGCACCACACTGAACATCTCTAAGCAACAGGCAACCAAATGTTTAGAGAAGCTTCTTGCTAATATGCAGCTAACTCAGATACATAGGTCATAATCAGAGAAGTACTTCCTGATTCAGGAGCAATTATAAAAATTTATTAGATTTTTTAAAAATTGGAGAATCTGAAATGGAATTTTCCCATGAACATGTTTCCATAGAGAACTTAAATCATTTAGCATCTATCTTGTTAAATAGCAGTAGAAAATACTCTTTTAACAGAAGATCTATTACAGGTTCCGTAACAAAATAGTATTTACTCAAAAAATGTGTTGAGCAACATATACTCTCATTCAAAAATTATAGAAACCACTGGAGATGTAGCTTAAAACATATTTATAAAAGTCTAATTATATATAAGAACACTGTGTGTTTGTCTATTAAACATTTTTTTAATTAATAAAAAGTTCAATTCCCCATCTACACTGAGACTTCTTCAGCTCAAAAGCTGGAGAAAGGGGCCAGCGCTGTGGTGCAGCGGGTTAACGCCCTGGCCTGAAGCGCCGGCATCCCATATGGGCACCGGTTCTAGTCCCAGCTGCTCCTCTTCCGATCCAGCTCTCTGCTGTGGTCTAGGAAAGCAGCAGAGGATGGCCCAAGTCCTTGGGCCCCTGCACCTGCGTGGGAGACCCAGAGGAAGTCCTGGCTCCTGGCTTCAGATCGGCAAAGCTCCAGCCATGGCGGCCATTTGAGGAGTGAACCATTGGATAGAAGACCTCTCTCTTTCTCTCTCTCTGCCTTTCCTCTCTCTGTGTAACTCTGACTTTCAAGTAAAATAAACAAATCTTTTTTAAAAAAAAAAAAGCTGGAGGAAGCAGCACCCATTTTTCATTATTCTGGTTGTCTTTCAAAACAAATTCATGAGGCCAGCGCTGTGGTGTAACTAGTAAAGCCACCACCTGCAACACCCATGTCACATACAGACGTCAGTAATGCACCTGGGAAACCAGTGGAAGATGGCCCAAGTGCTTGGGCACCCACACCCATGTGGGAGACTCAGAAGAAGCTCCTGGTTTCAGATCAGCCCAGCTCCAGCCACTGAGGCCAACTGGAGAGTGAACCAGCAGATAGAATTCTCTCTCTAACTCTGCCCTCCAAATAATCTTAAAAAAAAAAAAAGCAACAAATTCTTGGCTTTATACAATGAAAACAGACTTAGAAAGGTACTAGTAAAGCTTCATCACCAAAATCTTTTCCCTACTCAAAAGACAGGTACTTTCAGGTAGAGGCTCAGAGCTATATAGCAGTACCTTGGGAATTTCTACAACACAGCTCTGATGGAAATTTAGGTAAACCAAGGGCAAACACCTAACTCCTATTCAGATATGAGCTAAAAAATGCTTCTTGCAGTGGATAAAACAAAACTAGACACACCATTTTGGTGAAGTTCCTCCAGGTTGCATAATGCAACTTTAAATAGAGCTAAAATCGTTCATTCCAGACTAGAGTATTGAACACATCAACTTTTAAAAACCCAAGGAAAGTTCTTTGGCAAAAGGCTCTCCTGTTAGCTACTACTTGCCAATGTAACATTAATAATGTGGTAGTTTAAAAAGCTCAACAAGGCCTGCGATCGTGATCTTCAATAAAAGCCTTCAGGATAAAACACGTAACACTTCCAAGATTCACAATTTCAAATGATAATTCCAGACCAGCATGATACATAAGAATTTTCAGACTGAGACTGTCAAAAAGATTTATTGTTTAAGTTACCTATCTTGGTACCTTACTCAATGCAGAGAAGCAAGGATAAAGAATACACATTTCTGTGCTTATTTCCAGGAAACAAACATGACTGACAAGTTAAAGCAGTATGAGTTGTCTGAAAAAAAATCTCCATTAAAAATTCAGGCATAAGCCCTGAATCTGGACAGCTCAATAGACACAGGCACAATCCACTGATCAAACAATCAGAAGCCTAAGAAAATGCACAAAACTCATTAGCTTGCAAATTTAAAATATATCCAGAGACAGAGTCAGAAACAGAAGCTATGGCCTTTCAAAAGTGACCTTCACAAATCAGTTTGTGTTTGTTTCCATTTTCTTTCACAGTTTAAGCCTCAATCAAATCAGCAGTCTCTAGGGATTTTGAAATCGCTATAGATTAAAATCCTCTCTGACTCAACTGTTTGACTAATGCCGAGTATTTAATAATTCTACTTGTGAAAGACTTTTTGGGATGAAATCCTGCTCTGTGCTATCTTCAGATGTTTCTCAGCTGCACAATAATGCAAGGCATCACTGTCCTTATTTTCTTGATCACTCATTTTAGAGATGAGAAAATATATTATTACCAACAGGCCTATTATTTAGCAGGCCTCTCTGAAAACACTTTTCCAGTACTAAAGTAGCAACCATCATCTGCAAAGTCTCTCCTTTCAAGTACTAACGGTACATATTCATAGCTGGTTCTACAGATAGGAAATTAATAACTGGAATAGATAGAACAGAGCTCACTTAATGAATTTCTAAACTCCATGCTTTCAATAGTAAAACCATTCAAGTCACAGCATTTGGACTCTACTTTCACAGATCAGGCACTTTGATACTCAACAGGTTGAGTAAATTGAATCCATATATTGTATTTACGTTCTCTGTCAAGGTTGCTTCTCCACATTTCAGTGATCAAAGGCAAAGCAGTCATCAACTCTGTAGCCTTCAATACTATGTTCATTATTACATTTAATCAAGCGCCAACTCCACTGCATCATTCACCAATCTTAGAAGGCTAAATGCACGGCCTTGTTTAGCAACAAATAAAGGCACATTACTGTAAGAAAAATCCCCCCTACATGCACACACACAAAAGAAGGAGGCAAATGAATATCATTCTCTACCATATACAAGAAAGAATAACTGAAAAATGCACAGGACTGCTCAGCACACATTTGGGAGATGGTTTTCTACCTGAGGCAGCATCAATCACTGTGGAAATTCCCCTTCGATCAGAGACTGGACGGGATGACCCTGGCATGCTGACTGGGTCAGAGCGGACGGGTTGGATCCTGCAATGCAATTTAATTTAATTCACATATGTTACTGGCATCACAACTGTCACATACTACACCAGACCTTAAATCAGGCGTGTTTAAATAGCCCAATCCATTAAAGAACCATTCATTTTAAACCAGACAAACAGGGGAGCTGTACCCACTAAGTAGTGCACAAAGCTAACTTACTACAAACATTCTAACCTAACTTCCTATGTTACATAGGAGATTTTTCAGTAAGAGAATGAAAGATGAGGGTAATTTAGAGGAATAAAATAAGTAGAATGGGAGTGTCTGTTATTTGCAGAAGACACATTTTTAAAGAGAATCTTCAAATTCATAAATAGCATCACAGCTAGTAATGAGTTCCACAACAGGCAGCAACATAGGAGGTAAAATTCTGAAATGCTCCCTTCAAATCAATAATGAAAGTCACTTTATATATGATATTAAGCACAGGATAGCGAAGCTGTGTGGCTCCAAGGAGTTTGGCCAGGATCACTACTAACAGAGTTACTTCCATAAAATTACTAGCAGAAATAAGAAACAACGAGAACTTGAACAAAATGGCAAATTACTACCTGCAGTTCCAAGTTGTTCAACAATGATAAACATACAAATGGCAAGGGTCTTCAGGAGCATTAGAATAAATAGTATTAACCTTGAAATATCTATGATTAAAAAGGATGTGTGCATTCTTGGATTTTGGTATCCAAATGGGATCCTAGGATCAGTCTCCCATGGGTGCTGAGGGATGATTGTAATGGAATATGGATATATGAAGAGGAGAAAGAGGTACCCTTTAAGCTCAGGACTCAAACAAGCAGAGCCTTGGATTTGTGGTTGAGGATGATAAATGCAGGGCATCTTGAGGTGCATGATTTGTGTAAGGTGTAGAGTTCATAAAGGGTATTTGTGGAGGATAAGAAGTTGATAAGAAATATGGAACACATTACAGAAGCCTGAAACGCCAAGTATGAACTGAAGACAAAGAGTAACTATGGAAAGTACGGTTTGAATCTGTGTGTGTGTGTTGTGGGAAAGAAAGAAATGGGAGTTATAAAGTAACACAATTGGTCTAGAACTTGAAATTGAAAATACTGAAATACAAATATTTATGACTGCTATGAAGTACTACCCAACATTCCAACCCCCATGACTGTATTTCTAAACCAGCCACGATAACCCCACAGTATCTTGGCAGTGGTTAGTTAGCTCTGAGATGAGCAAGTCTAAGCAAAATTAGGCCACAAAGAAAAGAGTGTCTTGGGGCCAGCACTGTGGAGTCTCAGGTTAGGCCTCCGCTTGCCCCGCCAGAATCTCATGTGGGTGCTGGTTCAAGTCCCAGATGCTCCTCTTCTGATCCAGCTCTCCACTATGGCCTGGGAAAGCAGTGGAAGATGGCCCAAAGTACTTGGGCCCCGGGACCCATGTGGGAGTCCCAGAAGAAGCTCCAGGCTCTTGGTTTTACATCAATCCAGCTCTGGCTGTTGTGGCCATTTGGGGAGTGAACTAGCAGATAGAAGAGTTTTCTATCTCTCCCTCTCATTGTCTATAACTCTCTCTCTCAAATAAGTAAATTCATAGAATCTTTTTTTTTTTAAAGTTACATTCCTCTTTATGAGTCATTCTTTAAAACTAACCATCAGAGGTTGGCACTGCAGTGTAGCAGGTAAAGCCACTGCCTGTAGCACCGGCATCCCATATGGGTACTGGTTTGAGTCCTGGCTGCTCCACTTCTGATCCAGCTCCCTGCTAATGCACCAGGGAAAGCAGCAAAGGATGGTCCAAGTGTCTCGGCCTCTGCACTCATGTGGGAGACCTATAAGAAGCTCCTAGCTCTTGGCTTCAGCTTGGCCCAGCCCTGGTTGTTATAGCTGTTGGGGAGTGAACCAGAAGATGGAAGACCTCTCTGTCTCTGTCTCTGTCTCTGTCTCTGTCTCTCCCTTTTTTTCTTGCTCTGTAACTCTGCCTTTCAAATAAATAAAATAAATTTCAAAAAAAAGAATAATGGAATCTTCAGGAACTACCTTTAAAAAAAAAAAAACAAAAAATAAGGAGAAGATATAAAAGGAAAAGCAGATGGCTATTTTGTATTCAAATCAAGGTGTGTAATGATTTTTTGTTCACAAAGACAAGGAATGGAAGATTATATTGCATTAATCCCAGTTCTTTATTGTCTCTAAAGTATTGAGTCTAGGTATTATAAACTAAAAGCAAACATGAGACTACAACAGTAAAAAAAATATGAGAATTCCATTTAAAATAATCAGTTATTAGGGGGAATCGTTTGGTGTAGCAGTTAAGATACCATGTAGGATGCCTGCATTCTACATCAGTGTGACTGGGGTTGAATCCTGGCTATTCTCCCAGCTTTCTGTTAATGCTGCCCCTGGGAGGCAGCAGGTAACAGTTCATGCAGTTGGGTCCCTCCCACCCATGTAGGTGACCCAGATTTCAAGTGCTGGCTCCTGACTTTGTCCTGACCCAGGCCCAGATGTTACGGGCATCTAGGGAATGAAAAAGCAGATGGGAGATCTCTGTCTTTGTTTCTTTCTCCTCCTCTCTGTTTCTCTGCCTTTCATATAAAATAAATTCTAAAAATTAAAAAAAGATAAGAAACTATAAATGAATTTACAGCAACACTTTCTTATCCAAAACGAAATATGCAGGACTAGATGAAATTCAAAAATGAAATTTCATTGGAAGATAATTCCAACTTCAGAAATGTCAGGAAAGAAGGACTGAATCAAAATTCAAGCACTTAGAAACATGAGTAAAGATCATAAATTAGGATTCCATAAAAAAGAGTACCAAATATTAGATTTAGGTAAAATATAATCTGAAATACAAGTTTTTGTTGCATGTAATGCGATCCCATCTTATCTTCCCCAAGTGATGACAGTGGATCACACATAAAAGTATATGTAGTCTGCAACATGGTACCAAGCCAAAAAAGCAAACTTAACTATTACACAGGATACTCATCTCAGATGACTATATTAACCCTGCCATTCAAATCACTCCCTAATTTTTATTCCTTACCTCAGACTATTGAGATCCAGATCATCGGTATCAAAATCCAAAAGGGGCTGTGGAGTGTCACTCGGACCATGAGACTGCAACACCGATGAGCTAGAAGATATGACTGTGGTTTGGCCTGAGGGGTGGATGGTTTTGAACTGGAACTGTGGCCCCATCCACAGACGTCTATGGGGTCCAGTGTGTGTTACAATTTCAACCTGGAACACAGCAGGAATCATGGTTTACATGTATTCTGACCCCTACTTTGACAGACCTTCATGACCCAACCCTCCCCATTCTCACAACACCCTTCTCCAAGGAGCCCACCTAAATGAAGTAGGAAAGGGACAACACTCACACAAGACATGTACTATATCCTTCTATTGGTTTTCATCCACATTGAAAAAATGACATATTATCTACATATACATGAATAGGCACAACATATAACATATACATACACACAACACAAACGTCCCAAGGAAGTAAAGAACAAGTTGCTTGCTTCATATAACTAGCATCAGCTCCCTAGGGTTGACCTTTTCCATTTGTTCGAGACAGTGCTTCCCATGTTGTGGGCATGCACTCAATACTACACCTATTAATCCACAGAATAAAAGTAATTCCTTCACAGAGGATCAAGCTCGTGACAAACGTGAAGCTGTTCTTGAACTACCTAAGGAAAAGAAAGGCTCTGAAATAACTTTTAACACCTAATACCAGCTTCTTTCCACATTAAATACTATAATAGTTATGAGACTGCATTCAAGATCCCTAAAAATCCACTCTGAAAAGGAGAAAGCACTACATATTTTCTCTCAAAGTAGATTTTTTTGTTCCCAAATAACGATTCTTAATTAGAATGTCTTCTCAATTGCCCGTGAATATTGACAAACACGTAATATGCTGCAAAACAGTAATATCAAAATGCTTTATGAATTTCATGCTTTATGGAGAGGGCAGGAAATGTTGCCAAAGTTATATTAGACACTGTACAGATGAAGCAGCAAATACAAGACATTGGGCAAAACCCGAGTGCACTCATATTTCAAGATTTTACAAACGATCAACTTGAATAACTGACTCAATGTGAAAACCTTTGGTGTAAGTCTACGGTATTTCTAACATTTTCCCCTTGTTATATCCACAGCTGAGAGAATTCTTTATGGCACTGACATCCCATGTGCCTTGAGTTTTTGCCCTGAGTTCTTTTCATTGAATCACATTTTTCTGATTGCGGAGATTAATTCTTAACAAAACATAACTGAAAAGGTTCACAGAGCATAGCTCTGTGTTTGTGAGTCTGAACAGGCAAACACATCACGGTCTTGGAACAATATTCACATTCCCACTAATCACGGGGAGAGAAATACTCAGATTGAGGACAGTGATTTCTGATTCAAGTAGTTGTATTCGGCAATGTAAATTAGGCCACAGATAAAGTGTTCTGTGTATTTTAAGCTCAAAACCATCAGTGTCACAGAGCCGAGAGGTAAACAGATGCCTTTGCAATTTCACTGAGGCGATGGCCAGATGTTTCAGTTCACTCTCCTGTTGAGTGCAGGACAAACATATTGGATATACTTTCACACTGACAGCACACATTACCCCTTTTTCTAATTGAAAAGCTGAAGTGAAGGACACTGGTTTCTTTGCCAGCATTCTCAGAAAGTTTCATTTTGGGGAAAAAACATGCATTTTGGATTCACTTTATTTTATTATCAGAAAAAAAAAAAGGATTGACTTCCCTATGCCAGCAACTGAAGCATCAACTCTGCTTCAAGGCGTCTCCTATCAGTACGCTGGTTGTGATTAAATGAATCCATGGACCTAGATACTGGTTCTCTGAGGCTGTGGATTCACCTTGGTTCTCCAAGCTAACGTTTCCTGAAAAAGTAATGGAATGATAAAGTGGTCCTACTCTTTCTGAGGCACCTGTCTGATGAAAAGCTCCAGGCTGGTAATCAGAGACAGGTCATTAACTTCACCAAGAGATGTCAAACTTAAAGCAGACATAACAGCATTTGTAATGAAGCCATTTGTAATCCTCATCGTTTTGATTTTTTTTTTATTTTTTATTTATTTATTTTTTTGACAGGCAGAGTGGACAGTGAGAGAGAGAGAGACAGAGAGAAAGGTCTTCCTTTGCCGTTGGTTCACTCTCCAATGGCCGCCGCGGCTGGCGCGCTGCGGCCGGTGCACCGCGCTGATCCGATGGCAGGAGCCAGGAGCCAGGTGCTTTTCCTGGTCTCCCATGGGGTGCAGGGCCCAAGCACCTGGGCCATCCTCCACTGCACTCCCTGGCCACAGCAGAGAGCTGGCCTGGAAGAGGGGCAACCGGGACAGAATCCGGCGCCCCGACCGGGACCAGAACCCGGTGTGCCGGCGCCGCTAGGCGGAGGATTAGCCTAGTGAGCCGCGGCGCCGGCCTGTAATCCTCATCGTTTTGAAATCTGCCCAAGTATTTTTTTTTTATTTCAAATCTCTGGAGATGAAGATAGCTTTACCTGATAGGGGAGGAAGGGTCAGTTAAAGAGGTTACAGGACTGGTTCAGATGACCAGAAGCAACCTTAAAGCAGTTTAGGAAACTCTCATGCACCACTAGTGCCGAGGCTGTGTAGAACATTCAACTTCTGTAATCAGAGTATGAACCAGTCACAAGAAAATACTGGTTTCACAAACAAATTTCAAAGATTCATGAATGGCTACACTATACTATCATGGTTAACTTTTGTTTCAAATCTGATACAAATCTATTCCAAAGAGTCTGTCTAAAACCCAGGGCTTTAGATGGGTTATCTAAAAGATACACACATTTTTTAATGTTCTCTGTATGAAAGTGCACACACACACACACACACACAGGTATGTATGGACTGATACAAAATATTATGTATATAATTGTAACATTATTCCTGAGAAAGAATATCAATATGTAAGAGTTACCAATTCTTCTCATTTTTCTCTAAGGACAAGAATGAAAACAAATAGTGGATTTTTGTTTTGACATTAATACCCAAATACTTCAGAGTTTTACCTGTGAAAGCCATTCTTCATCTTCCTGTCCACTATGGTCAGAGGCTAAACTGTCATAGGACCCATGTCGAGTAATAGGCCCAGGACTTCCAGGGGGCACCACTATAGAACAAAGAAAATGGATTTAAGCCACTTTAATTCAGGCAATGGAAAAGATCTGGGCACAAGCATCATGGACACTGTCCTAACTTATAAAATACAACATTTAAAGCACCAAGGCAATTCAAATAATTAAAGAGCAAGCAATTCCAGAAGATTTTAGGAATAAGAAAGATCTGTAATTCAGGGTACATTTTCTGTACAAAATTAGTAATGATATATTTTCACCATAAAAGAAAAAGACTGATGATGTTAACAGCAAAGTATAATGAGCAATAGTGTCAAACCTATTCATTGAAGGATTACTTTAAGGTTGCTTAAAAGAGTCCGTCCTATAATTTCATATATGTGGTATGCACAAAAATGCATATTTCATTAAAAGCATTCTCAGTTACTCAAAAAAATTATCCAAAGAAACATGTAGTTTCTGACTACAGTCTATTTTTTCATATGAAGAGGACCCATTCTTAGTGAAAACAAGAAAATGATTCATCAAACATTAATTGAGTTTCAACCCAATATATTGAACCATATATTATCCCACCAGAAATTTCAGTCATGGTGTGGCCCTTTAACACGGCAGTTAAGACACCTCTTGAGATGCCTGCTTCCCGTATGAGAGTCCCTGGTTCAAGTTCTGGCTTCACTTCCAACCCAGCTAACATGCACAAGGGAGGTAACAGGTGATGCCTCAAATATGTGGATCCTTGCCACTTATGTGGGACATTCAGAATGTATTCCTGGCTTCGGCCTGGCCTACTGAGCCATAGATGGAAGATATTGTTTCCTCTGTCTTTACCTCTCTTTTTTCTCAAAATAAAAATAAATATAATTTTTAAGAAAACAGCCTTTTGGGGCCAGTGCCATGGCTCAATTGGTGCCTGTAGCACCGGCATCCCATATGGGTGCCGGGTTCTAGTCCCAGTTGCTCCTCTTCCAGTCCAGCTCTCTGCTGTGGTCTGGGAGGGCAGTGGAGGGTGGCCCAAGTGCTTGGGCCCCTGCACCTACATGGGAGACCAGGAAGAAGCACCTGGCTCCTGGCTTTGGATCAGCGCAGCACTGGCCAGAGTGGCCATTTGGGGGGTGAACCAAAGGAAGGAAGACCTTTCTGTCTTTCTCTCACTGTCTATAACTCTACCTGTCAAATAAAAAAAATCTTAAAAAAAAAAAACAGCCTTTTCATAGGAAAATGTAGAATCCCTTTCCAAACAGCTTTTTTTTTTTAAGTTATTTATTTACCTGAAAGGCAGAGTTACAGAGAAAGAAAGAGACAGAGAAAGAGAGAGAGATCTTCTATCTGCTGGTTCACTCCCTAAATGGCCACAGTAATTGGAGCTGAATGAGGCCAAAGCCAGGAGCCAGGAGCTTCTTCCAGGTCTCCCACAAGTCCAGGGGTCCAGGGATTTGGCCATCTTCCATTGATTTCCCAGGTGCATTAGGAGGGAGCTGGACTGAAAGTAGAGGAGCCGAGGGGCCGGCATGTGGCTCACTGGGTTAATCCTCCTCCTGCGGCGCTGGCATCCCACATGGGTACTGGGTTCTAGTCCCAGTTGCTTCTCTTCCAGTCCAGCTTTCTGCTGTGGCCCGGGATGGCAATGGAGGATGGTCCAAGTGCTTGGGCACCAACACCCGCATGGGAGACCAGGAGGAAGCACCTGGCTCCTGGCTTCAGATCAGTGCAGTGTCAGCCATTGTGGCCATCTGGGGAGTGTAACCAATGGAAGGAAGACCTTTCTCTCTGTCTCTCTCTCTCACTGTCTATCTGTCAAATAAATAAAAAATAAAAAAATAAAAATAATTTAAAAAAAGAAAGTAGAGTAGCCGAGACTTGAACTGACACCCATATGGGATGCTGGTTCTGCAGGCCACAGCTTAATCTGCTCTGCCACGGCACCAACCCCATCCCCCGTAGTTTTTTTTTTTTCTCTCTCTCTCTCTCTCTTTTTTTTTTTTTTTTTTTTTGACAGGCAGAGTGGACAGTGAGAGAGAGAGAGACAGAGAGAAAGGTCTTCCTTTGCCGTTGGTTCACCCTCCAATGGCCGCCGCGGCCGGCGCGCTGCGGCCGGCGCACCGCGCTGATCCGATGGCAGGAGCCAGGAGCCAGGTGCTTTTCCTGGTCTCCCATGGGGTGCAGGGCCCAAGCACTTGGGCCATCCTCCACTGCACTCCCTGGCCACAGCAGAGAGCTGGCCTGGAAGAGGGGCAACTGGGACAGAATCCGGCGCCCCGACCGGGACTCGAACCCGGTGTGCCGGCGCCGCAAGGCGGAGGATTAGCCTAGTGAGCCGCGGCGCCGGCCCCCCCGTAGTTTTTTTTAAGTAGCAGCTTTAGGTGCACAGCCAAAAAGAGCTCAAGATACAGGCATTTCCCATATATTCCCTAGCCCCATCTACCATTTTATAACTCAGAGAAACCAGGCAATGAAGTTATGGAAAAAGAGGAAGAGAGATGAGAACTAACAAGATATGGAAGGAATAGAAAAGAATAAGAAACAGACAACAATCCTATAATTCCCATCTCCCAGAGATACTTGTACATACATCAATGTCCAAAAATCTCCTAAGGCTTTGAGAAACCTAACAATGAAAGCAAAGGGTGTGAGCATTTTAGAATCTCCTAACATCCATTCCTAGAGAAGGTGTATACTTCCAAAGAAAGAAGGCAAATGCCACCCTTGCTGCGCTCTTGTGGAACAGGATATTCTGACTGACTATATCTCAATGGAACAGATACAAACGAAGCCAACAGGTATAATCTAGGGCCAGATTTAAATAGGCACATATTCAAAAACATCTTAATCTTAGCAAGCTTTGAGATGAGAAAGGGTACATAAAGTATTAACATGTAATCAATGTACAATGGTTAAAACATTCAGCAGTTAGTTCTTTAAAATCATGGTGCTACAGCTGGGAGGCATGCTGGCATTTGGTATAAAGCACAAGTGATCAAAATACACACATCTACATTCTTGAAGGTGAATGATAATTATATATTTACTTAAGCATTCTTGTGGAAGTAATTCTAGTACATGTTGCAAAGGTGGTAAGCAAACTGGATCTCAAAAAGTTGAGCTGGCCCTAAACAATGCCACTTTTTATAATACATATAATGTATATTAACTTCTTAACACAGAGTAGGAGGATTCCCTAAATGCTACCCCTTAAATACCAGTGAAAAAGGTGAATATGAACAAATGTCTAGAGGTCAGGACATGCTACGGAAAGCAGATAAGAGTAGAAAAAATTTTAAAGAATTTAGGGAATAGGGGTGGGCGCCATGGCTCACTTGGCTAATCCTCCGCCTGTGGTGCCAGCACCCCGGGTTCTAGACCCAGCTGGGGCACCGGATTCTGTCCCAGTTGCTCCTCTTCCAGTCCAGCTCTCTGCTGTGGCCCAGGAGTGCAGTGGAGGATGGCCCAAGTCCTTGGGCCCTGCACCCACATGGGAGACCAGGAGGAAGCACCTGGCTCCTGGCTTCGGATCAGCGCAGTGTGCCGGCCGTAGCAGTCATTTTGGGGTGAACCAACAGAAGGAAGACCTTTCTCTCTGTCTCTCTCTCACTGTCTAACTTTGCCTGTCCAAAAAAAAAAAAAAAAAAGTAGTAAGGGAATAGGGATTTTCCTCTCTTGGAAGCCCCCCTCCATGCCACTCTGGCTGGAGGTCCCTGATTCTAATAAATATTTCTAAATCTCTTTGCCATCCGCTTAGAAATTCTCCTTCTATGTGAGACAAAGAACCAAGGTAACAGTAATTTCTTCGCCAATTTCCCGTAACATTTTTGGTGCCATGACTTAGATAGCAACTCCAATGTGACTCAGACTGCAACTCCAGCGTGATGTGATGTAGACCCAACATCAATCATCCCACTGGACTGGTGAGCATGTGGACTATTGTCACTTTTTTTTGGAGAGCCTTTCTCTCCTTCATAGTAACTTGCATTTTTCTCAAAACACCGGGTCCCTGTCAGCCACTTACAAGTGATTAGTGTGGCAGCCAGTCTTAAGACTCAGGGGCAAGGCTTGTTGACTAAGGCTAGATCAATCCCCTGGAGCTAGGATTCTATCCTAACACCTCCCCTCCCTCTTGCGTGGATCGGCCCTTTGTGTGGGACTGGAAGAAGGCTTAGACACAACTGATGGATTCTAGCTGGGGTTACACGCCAGCGTTTTCAGAAGGTCTCCTGGCTGGGCACCAGGCTCCGATTGCCGGAATGGTGTTGGGCCGTGAAACACCTCCACTCCCTCTTGCGTGGATCGGCCCTTTGCATGGGCCTGGAAGAAGGCCTTGAGACAACTGATGGATTCTGGCTGGGGCTACACTCCAGTGTTATCAGAAGGTCTTGTGGCTGGGCACCAGGCTCCGATTGCAGGAACGGTGCTGGGCCGAGAAACGCAGTTTCCAACAGGGAGCCAGTTCCCTGACCTTTTGGAGTCCTCACGAGCTGTAAGCCAGAGATTCCACTCTTCTTGCTTCTCATCTCAGCTCTGGAATACTGGTCTGGCCCAACCCAGCTTCCTTTTGCAGGGATTGGCCCAACACATGGGACTGGGAGAAAGGTTTGGAGTAACCTTGAAATACAGGACAGGGCCACTTTCTGGCATTTTTCAAGGACTCCCTGACTGGACATCAGATCCCAATGGCCCATTAGGATGTAGGCTGAAACTGCATTCTCTTCTTCCTTCCTGGAGATTAATCTGTCAGTGAGACTAGGCGCAGCCTGGAGTGAGGCCGTGGGCTCCCGGCTCCATGCCTCAGTGAGTTTTTCCTATACCCCAGATCTCAGCAGATCTCTCTCTCTCTCTCTCTCTCTCTCTCTCTCTCTCTGCTTCTCTAAACGCTTTCTATACCTCATCAAGTCTCCACAATTTCTACAACCTCAATTTCCTGGTCTCATTAGTGGGTATCTCCTAGATATTTCATTTGTTAGTTCTGGGTTAAAGTCTAACTATCTCCTTTACAGACAGGCAGTCTGTCGATCTAGACTCCCATTAGCTGCAGTCCCCA